TCCCCCTTTCTGGGTCTGGGAAGGAAGGAGTGCTGGGCTCTGCAACCAGCCCTGCTGGTAACTGGCTGTCACATCCTCCCACATCATCTGCAAAACCAGCGACCTTTTGAGGGACCTTTGGGAGGAGGAAAAAAAAGGCCCAGAATGTGTGCATCCCAAAACCTGATCTATTTTTGGTAATAAGATTTTGCAGTGCTTCTGATGCTCAGGAGTGGTTGACTATTCCTCAGACTTTGCAAATGTAAAGAAGAAAAATGATAAAGTGGGCCCAGCTTTTGAGGGAAAGATGCATAAAGGGGCACACCGCTGAGCTGGAGAGAAAGGAAGAAAAACAGCAAAACCTCTGCTTGTCTCCCTGATAGCAAATCCAACAGGATTTCCTATAAAAGAGATTCTGTGCCTAAGGAAGCTGAACCATGTAACTGAGATTTACAGGAAAACAGTCCGATACCTGAGCTGGGACCAGAACAACCTGCTTGCTTGAGAAATACACATGGAAGGGTCAGAAACCTCCCATCTCTCCTTTATTTGCTATATATTAGCAGAGCTGGGGAGCAATAAATGGTGTTGCTAATAATTTCTTGTTTTGGAAACACACTGACTTTAAGTGTATTAATCTCCAAGACAACTACTCCCCTTGAGCTTTGATTTTGAAGGAAACCTTTGCAAAATGCTAGCTCAATGTGGGAGGAGAGCTTCTTGGACTGCCTAGTTCTAAAAGCCAGACATATATTTCATGTTTAATATGACTCCACATATGCACCCAAATCTGCTTCAATAAAGCTTTATAAATAGTTTTAGTGTGTGGATTCGGTAAGTTTAATTCACTCTATCTACTGTATTTTAGTACCTGGTGGAAACTCAGTCCAAATGTTAAATTTAATTTATTGCTATATATGATAATTCCATTGAATTTCTTTCTAAGGCAGTGTATCAGAATCACCCTTATCTGTGAAATTCCTTGCTATTATCAGTAACCAATGATCCATTTTTAAACATAGGTTTAATTCTCAGCCTATGAGATCACAAGTATGACTACAAGAAAGGGTTTGGTGCCATAGTACAATGATTGACAGCTACAGCTCAGTAAAACAGGACTGCTCAAGTGAAAGAAAGGTTCTTGGAACACTGTTGGCTACCCACGGAAGACAGGGAACAGAGCTCACCAAGGTAAGTAGATTCTCTTTATACACTAGCCTCAACATGGGAGGCTTAAGAGATTGGAGAACAGCCCTCTGGAAAAGGGATTTGAGCATTCTTGTTGATGATAAGTTGGATCTGAGACAGCAATGTATCCTGTAGACAAATGACTAACCATACCCTGGGGTGCTCCAGACCCAGCACTGCCACCGAGCGAGGGTAGGGGTTGTTTCACTCTGCTCTGCACTGTGCAGCCTCACCTCCAGCACTGGGTGCAGTTTTGTGTGCCACGATACAAGAAGGACAAAAAAAAAACTATTAGGGATCATCCAAAGGAGGCCTACGAAGATGATTCTATGATTTCAAAATCTAGCCACCAGTTCCTAGCTTGCATCATCATCGGGACCATGCATGATGAAGACACAACTTTGTGACCGCTTTGGTAACCCCACGGCATTTTACTTATATTCAGTGGTCCAAGAACTTATCTATCCCTGGAATCATTCTGCATATGGACAGTGTAAACAGGTGAGTATAAGTAATGCACCTGAATCATCAGACTGAGAGGAAGTATAAAAATAATGGTTAACAATGCTTCATATATGGAACTAATTTGAAAGTACTCTCAAATTAAAAAGGGGGTGGGTAAAAATCAGCGTCTTGTTTCAAATGCTGATACAGCACTTTATTTCTATTAAGTGATTTACGGTGTCATTACTGCATTACTGTACAGAGCAGTGGCTCAGAGTAATTACCCTGTAATGTATGATGACACTAATGTACTAGTAAACTACTGGAGTTTATACTCTATTCAGCACGAGCATCAGGACTCTGAAAGGCAGGTAAAAATGCTCTGCATGCATAAACAATGTGGGTAAATGTCACCAGCGATAAAATTTTTAAAAAGGAGAAGGAAGAAGCAGTTACCAATAAATCTGCCAGCCGAGAATTGCAACTGCATAGACCTACAACAGTGCTAAATCTGTACAGTTTTTAATACAGGAAGGAAAGATGTCTTTATATCCTTAACCTGGCTCAATTTTCATTTATTACAATTAAAACTGTAAGGTGGCTATCACCTATGTTCTTTTTGTCACTTTAAGTGCAACACTGACCAGTAGCTGGTGTTCAGCTCAGTGTTCGGAAGAACATGGAAGGGAAATGAAGGGCATCAAAGCAACTAAAGCATTCAGTGGTTTATGTTCACTGTTGTAAACTGGTACTCTATATTTAAAGTCCCAGTTATTGAAATTGTGGAGAATCAACAATTGCTTCATGATAAAGGTTGTTTCGTCCTCCTTTTTTTTTTAAATACACCTTGTGGCAATGGGATAAAGCTTGAAACACAGCTTGAAAGCTGAGTGTGTCCCATAGTCTCAGAAAATGTAGCCCAAAAAAGAGCCACTTTATAACTGCTCCATGCTTAGAAAAAAACTAACAAACAAAAAATCACACCAGGATTTTTAGAATGTCCTAATGGATTTTGGGCACTGAGGCTGGAAATGAGGCAGCATATGCATAGCTAGATGTACATGTCCCAGGGCCAAAGGAAAGCCTTGCTCTTCCTCAGGAGACAGTACCAATTACCATATTTTTAACACCCCCCCAGACACCAGCTAATGGATTGGCTGCCTCCCTGGTTCTCTCCCATTAAATTACAAAAGGGATTCAAGTCCTTCTACCAGCATGTGGCACCAGCAACATAATTCCTTCCACACTAAGCAGTCCTTTCTTTAAAATGTCTCAGTTGGGGGGTGGATAGCCCAGTGGAAGCAGTTAATGCAGCAGTTTATGTTGAGCAAACTCTATTTTACCTTCTCTGCAAGTGCTGCAACTGTTCTGCGTGATAGACATTGCCCTGCTCCTGTTGGCAGTGGCATTCATCTTGCAGAGGTAGCTATGCCCTCCCAAATGGCAGATTACTGAAGGTTTTTGATAATCCTTAGCTCTTTTACCTTGGAGAAAGTAAGGCACAGCATCATCTTTGCAGTTTTTTCATTCTCCTTGCTGTTTCATTCCATATAGGCTGCTTCAGACTCCATGACAAAGATGTATACTGACCTATTCTAATTAAGTTCTGAATCATTACACTCAACATCAAAGTAGGATTTGAGTGAGAAGGTCCTGAAATTCCTGTCTGTTTCTGCTTTATTGGAGTGCTTTGCTAAAAAATCTGCTTTTGGCTGGCAAGTTTTATTATAAACCTTGAGGTTTTCATGTAGCTTAGAATAAGTTGACAATTTCATATGTGTCAAATCTCATCTTAGGGTGTACCTCACCCAAAAATGAATGGAAGCTGTAGACTGCCAGGAGACTGTATGTGATCGATCTGACTCACAACAAGACTAACTTTGGAGACAGCACCGTGAATCCAGCATCATCTGCCCTCCAGAACATAGTTCTACCTCATAGAGATGCAAGAGGAGCTAGCAATGAATAATTGTGCTGAGGCTGGTTTTGTATAGCAAGAGTCAATTCCTTCATTTTCATTACTTCATCAGCTGAGAAAACACATTCACACTTACAAAGGGAAACAAACATTTACTTGATCGAATTATGGCTCAAGACACATGGATGGTGATGGAAAAGCTCACTTGAACTTAAGACAGCCTTTCATACCAAGTGCATTAATGGTATGCTTTCATTTAGACTACAAAGTCCTTCGGCTACTGGAGGTGTAGGGATATGTTTGCAGTTGCAGCTGCAATTCACTGACACAAAGGTTGTTCTGTCTCTGAGAATATTAGAAATGCACAAAGAAGTGAAATTCAGAGGACAGATTTTTTCATATAATGTAATGACAGTGAACCTATCCAGATTAATCTTTCATTAACATATTTTTCAAGCACATATTTTAGAGAAACATATACCCACACAAACGTGCTCTCAGCCTTACAGTACTTAGGCAGAACAGCAAAACCACTACAAAGGACAAGCCCATACCTTTTCTGCCACTGCAACATGCAAGAGCAGGAGAAGGGAACAAAACAAAACAAACAAAAACCCCTAATCTATAGTGTTATCTGCCTGCTAGCACGCTTTGGCTGCCATATTTCCTCCCATTCCTTTCTTCCATAACACTCCTTGTGTTTGTTGTTCCTACACATTCCTGAAGCCGATCAAGAAATCTCTTCATATGCTGCTTGATTTGTAGCAGTGAATGCATACTCTGGGTCTGAGCCCATTTCCACAGGCCATGGGGAATCCTCCAGTGAGGATTCATCACAATGCAGCTAGGTGAAGATCCTCTAAATCAGGCTGAGAAATCAAAGGCTCACTTTCGTATCACCTTATTTTCACAATTCAACAGAGGCACATATCTTAGCAGAGCTACTCTGGGTTCAGTCCACACATATTAGCTACTAATTAGGTATCCTAAAACTGGAGTCATCCTCTAGAGTTACCATGTCTCTCTACCAATTTTGAAAAAATCCCTGATAATGGTAACATGGATGGAATCCAGGACTGAACTGCTGCAAAATACCTATATACCTTCACTCACCTGAAGGCAGCTGAAATATGCTCTTTTGTATACTGCTACAAGTCCCCTTTGCCTGTGCACTACAATTAGAAAGGAAATGCAGCATGCAGAGGTAAGAGCTGAAGTTAACATATCCCAGAAGTGAACTAGTGGAGAAAGCAATGTGACTTGTGAACAAAATGGTGTACTCAAAGCTACATAATATGGCATATGGGACACAGTTCTCTCTCATACAATACTTCCATAGGAAATTATTTGCTCCTGAGCACTTGCATGAAGCATGCTAACTGCAGCTACTCAATGAACAAATGAATGACATACACTCATGTATTTGGCCCTTTCACAATGCACATGCATGGAGACTGCACCTCTGACTCACCCTTAGATGGTGGTCGCTCCAGATCCGAATCGAGGTGGATTGGCGGGGCAATATAGGAAACCTGCCCATGGTGAGCCTGCCCTGTGGACAAATAAGTTTTTTAGTTGTGCTGTTTTCTACAGAAATCTATTAGGTTATAATTGAACATACAACATTTTTGTGGCCCAGGACTCAGAACAGGTTTGTATTTTTTCTAAAGCACATTTTTCACATACACTAATGTTCAAAAGGAAGATGAACTTCCATTTTGTAGAGGCATCTACTCAGAACTTATACCTGTTTTACCATGTACATTTTGCACAATGTTCTCTTAAGGGGCCGTATGCCACAGAAGTCAACCGGTTTCACAGAAACCCATTCAATGTGTTAATTTCACTCTAAGAGGCAAACTAGTAGATCTGTGTCACAAAAATTTCTGAAGGAAGTATGGTATGAAGTACAACTGCATCTGTTTGTCCCATCTGCAGAAGATACAGATACTGCTTTGTGGAGCTTAGCGTTGCTTTCACTTGAATGGAAGCTTTTCTGTTCTCAACACTGCCATGCAGCTTCCCAGTAGGTAGAGACTCAATTCTTCTCCAGTAATTTGGAAGCAACTATATCAAGAAACTTTTATTTATAATAAAAAACATGTTGTTATAATTCATCTATTTACTGTAACAATTTACAGGGTTGTTAATCTCTTTTTCTAAACATGGAAAGTTAATGACACATAGATTACGATAACAGCTAGAGTAACCTTCCTGTTTCAAGTAATATTCGTGCTGCAATAAAAGCAGTTGATTCCTCTTATGAGGCACATTCCAAATAATTAATATGGCTCCCTGTTGACACTTGCTGTTGTTGCTCCAAGCAATTTCCAAGCTAGCATCACAAGCAGCAGAGCAGTGATACACTCTTCAGGCTTCTTTATAATGAAATCCAGGAATACCATGAGAACAGTATGCTAGTGTACATAATATGTTGAGAACATCTCTTCAGGGGTATAAAATATTAATGGAAAAGAGGGAGGAGGGGTAAAGCATGTTTAAGTGGACAGTACATATTTACTGCTTTACACTGAAGCTGACTTATAATTTGCATTATTAGCCATACAACAACTGGACTTATTTAGGTTTAAAATCTAATGACACACCATAAATTCCATATTTGCTTTTAAGTGTTTTAACATGGGAAATTTGCTTCAGGCAGACCCATAGCTAATAATGACTTACCCTGCTTTCCTCTTCTCGTTTCTATGTTAAAAATCCATTTAATGTCATTAATGAATACAAGTCATCATCTAATAGCTGATTGGTTCTGCAGTGGAAATAGGAAGCCTGCTCTACTCCATGCTGCTCAAAGTGCAGATCAGTATCCTAATAACTATGCAACAGGCTCCTCGTTTGCTGCATCCCAGACACTACCAAAATGCAAAATAACTGAGGTTGGAAGAGACTTGTGGAAATTGCTAGTCCAGTCCAAGGACAGCAAAAGTTAATTGCTCAGAACTGCATCCATTTCGGGTTTGAAGATTTCCAATATGAGGGAATCTGCAATCTCTCTGGGCAACCTGTGCCAGTGCTCAGTTACTTGCACAGGAAAAAAAAAAAACAAAAAAGCAAAGAAAAAGCAGCTTATTCTTACAGAATCACAAAGTTTGGAAAAGACTTCCAAAGATCATCTAGTCCAAATGTCAATCATTATGTTCAAATGGAATTTTTTGTTTTTCAGTCTGCGCCCACTGCCTCTTGCCCTATCACTGGATGCATCTGAAAAGAGTTTGGTTTTGTACTCTTTATTCTCCACCTCTGCACTCCAATCAGGAAGCTAGGCACATCAATAAGTTGCCTCTGGACCACGCCTGCTCCAAGTGGAACAGTCCCAACTCTCTCATAGAGAGATGCTTCAATCCTTTTATCATCTTACTGGATTGATGCCAGTAAGTCCTTATCTCTCTTGTACTGAGAAACCCAGAACCAGGCCCATAATCCAGGTGCATTCCCATCAGTGCTGAGCAGAGGGGCAGGATCACTTCCCTCAATCTGCTGGCAATGCACTGCCTAATGCAGTCCAGCATTCTGGTGGCCTTTTCTGTCCCATGGGCACATTGCTAGCACATCTTTTTTTTCCCCCTCATCAAGTCCCTTCTTGGGACCAAGTGATCCCTAATACAAAGAATGAATAATTCTCCCGTTTTGAAGGGTTAGGTTGGAGTAAAGAAGACGTGCACAGTATAAAAGATTGCTAAATATCTGCAAGTTTGCTTAGACATTCATTATGATTCAGTAGTAACTGTAGAATTTATGAACATTTATGAATGTTTTATAAAAGCTTTTACCTAATATGGAGGAAGCAGTAGCATCAAATGCTTACTTGTGACAAATGAAACAAGTTGCTGAAAGCTTTTGTCTACTTGTTGCTGATACAAAACATACCTCTTCCAAAAAATATCAAACTTGACTCCTGTCAGACAGTATGCTTTTCAAAATGCTAAAAAAATCAAATTTTAAGTGTTACTACTTTATATAAAAGCAATGCATACAACACTTGTGCTACATTTTCTGGGCACGAATACCAACTTAGTCTTGAGACTCATCAGTCTTTCCATATGAGAAACAAAATCTCTCCAGCTCTCCACTGCTATCTGTGGCCCACATTATGCGTTCACGATCTAGATCCCTTGCAAACCTTCTTGTTAATCAACAGAATCACATTTTTTCATTGATTTTACTATTACTGGCAATGGTGACATCTGAGGGGGCTGAGGGAAGAGAGCCAAGGGGCAGTGGCTGAAGAAGGCCTCAGCAGTAGTAATGTTGCACAAGTACACAGAGGAAACTTACGTCAGGGGACAAAACTTGATTACCAAAGTAATGAGTCCTTCCAGATTTAACAGTATTAAACGTTTTCCCAATGACTCATAGGACTACAGAATATCCCAAGTTGGAAGGGACCCATTAGAATCACAGAGTCCAACTCTTGGCTCCATGCAGGACCACCCAAAATTAAATAACACGTTAAATAACACTACTCCATTGAATAACATAATTTTGCCTAATGAAACAATGTAAGATCTTGAGGATGATGTCACTGGCACAGCTCAAGTCAGTCACAAAGACTGACAGAACTAGTTTTTTCCAAATTATACCAATTCCTGCCCATTTTATATGAATTTAGCAGTTCTGGATGCTTACCTCAAGCCTCAGCTCTAGGACTGAGCATCCCCAGGCAATCCCCCCTCTCCAGGTCCAGCTATAGCAAAGAAACACTTGGAAAGGAGAATGTGTAAATCTTATAAAAAGAGGGTAGAAGCACTCAACCTTTCCCTCTTCAAGTCCCCTGGTTCTTTAGCTGTCTTCTGTACATGCTGGGTTTGCACAGCAGACCTTGTAGCACCGTAAAGTGGGACATGGGCCTCCCGTGCTCACATGACCGTCTCTCCGTCTATTAAGCTTTGATGCACAACTGCACATCTATTACTTCAGAAGTCTATTTGATCTCCCTCAAAAGCCTGAAGAGCTGCCCACAGGCTAGCCACTTCCGAGATGTTGCTCAGGTATCTGTGCCTATGGGAGAGGAAACAGATCGTTTCATGCCCTTCCCAAATGTTATGGAACACTCCAAAAATAACTGCACCTCTTCAAATTAGTGGGCCAATTTTAATAATTAAAAAAAAGAAGAAGAAGAAAAAAAGCCTATTTCTAAAAAAATACCAAAGGTCAAGATGCCTCTCTTGCTGATGGAAAGCTGGGCTTGCCTTGTATTACCAACAGCTTGCACGGCCCTCTCCAAATCCCACTCTGACTATAACCATCTGGTGTTTCAGCAGCCGGCTCTCAGGTAAAAAAGTAAACAGCAATCAAATGTAATCATCAAAGTAACACGTGATGAAGTTGCCAATTTTGTATCTAATTGCTTCAGTCAGGCTCCGTTTCCTTTACTCTTCTTGCCTGTGAGGAGCAGCCGCCATCATGGCTGGTTCAGTAGGGCGGATAGGAATGGCTGACAGCACGCAGCCATCCTGTAAGCAGCAGGAGAGGGGCAGAGAGGCCCTTGTGCCATGTGATCGGCTGAAAAAAAGAAGGGTTAATGCTGGAGTGCCACCGCAGTTTGCTTCCTCTCCCTCTCTGCTGCTTTTTTGCATAGCGTGCTGCAAGGATTCAGGCCTGGCCAACACTGCATAAACATCAACAATGCTGTTTTTGCCAGCGGCTTTCATGCTCTCACTGGCACGTCCAGTCAGCCAGCACAGCTCGGCTCTGCTCCTTCCTGCTGCAGCACAAACTCTCAGGTGAGGCAGAGTGAGCGCCGAGCTCGGCGTGGGCACCCCAAAGGCCCTGCCTTCTGAGTGCGAGGTCTCTCTCTCCACTCAGTAGCCGCCATTTTGGCAGTGAAGCACAGAGGTGGCCGGGTAAGTCCATCCGGTGACATGGCCTCCCTCGGGAGGAGGAAACAGAAGAGATGTCTGCAGATCGAAGGAGCGCCTCGCTCGCCATTACACGTTCAGGTCTGACACATGAGAGATGCAGCATCTTGGAAAGCTGCTAAGTTACAAGAACAAAGACAGTGTTTGTGAAGAATGCAGGAAATGTAATGGCATGGCCCGAGGGATAACTTTGTTAAGGGATCTGGATGCTTACAAACACAAAATAAACATTCACACATCTTCAGAAATCTGCCCTTAAGTTATTTGAGTCATCTACAGATTCCACGATAATGAAACCACAGGAAAAAAAACACATGCACTAACAAGAAACTAGCAATACAGTAGTCTTATCTGTTTACACATAAAAACGCTTCCCCTGTTTCTTTTTGGAAACATACATGGCATTTGTGCATATGACAGTGCAGACCTCCCTCCCGACCCTGTTCCAAGCATCCAGTGCCTGGTTTTCTCTGGAGGTGAAAGTTCCCTTTCTCAACTGTCCCCATCCATGGCAGATCACTACAACACATTCTTTTTCTGTCATGTTAGATTGCATCACTCGCTCTGTTTTCTACCCATTTTCCAGCCTCCTTCGGTATGTTTTCACCTTCCACTGGCTCCCTTCTATTTTTGAGATCCTTCTAAGACTGCCTAGCTAGCATTTCACACAGAA